ACGGTGGTGACCAGAAGAGGGGCCTGAGTGAGTGGACACCCCACTCACTGTTGGCGGTTTCTACTGTGCACGCACACTGACCTGCGCAGCAAAGGTCAGTCAGCTAAGCTGTTATTTTTGTTTTTGAGTGGTGATTTTTGTCTCTGCTTTTATATTGCTTCTGGTTTTGGTCCTTTTGATCACACTTTTTCCTCTCAAGAAGAGACAGCAATCGTGGCCATATAGCCAAGTTACAAGCATACCCCATAATATCCCTGGTTTTATGGAGCCAAACCAGCTGCTAGGCATTACACGCAAAAAGGGAAGCCTATCTCTAGATCATATCCACCAAGAAACACTCAGTAAGCTCAACAACACAGCAACATACGTCCATTTAGCATTAAAAATCCACCTAACTACTGAAAATGTCCAGAAAAACACAACAAAAGATGTGAAAACAGAAAAGAGTAACTGGCACAAATGAGCTGGAGGCAGACATAGTCTTTCCAGTATAAGAAGAGCAGGCTTTGGATCTACCTGAGAAGGAATTGAGAAGAATGATATGGAAATAAATTCAAATGCTCCGAAAAGGAGTGGAGGAAAATAAGGAAGAAGTCAGGAAAGTGCTACAGGAACAATCAAACAAGATGGATACAGCATTGGAAACAATTCAAAACCTGCAAAATCATTTGGTTTATATTCAATCAGGATGTAACATATGATCAAGAACCGCTGGTACTGAAAGAAGAAGTTCAAGTTGCACTGAAGGCATTGGCAAGAAACAAGACCCCAGTAATTGATGGAATAAAAATTGAAACCTTTCAACAAATGTATATAGTACTGGAGGCACTCACTCATCTATGCCAAGAAATTTGGAAGGCAGCTTGTCTGGCCAATTTGTTGGGAGAGATCCCTATTTGTGCCCATTTCAAAGAAAGATGCCCCAACGGAATGTGTAAATTATCTAACAATACCATTAATATCACATTAAGTAAAATTTTGCTGAAAATCACTCAAAAACGATTGCAGCAGTACATCAACAGGGAGCTGCCTGAAATTTAAGCCAGATTCAGACAAGGACGAGAAACGAGAGCTATCACTGCTGATTATTTTGGCAGAAAGCAGAGAACACCAGAAAGTTTTTAACCTTTGTTTTATTGACTATGCAAGGTCATTTGACAGTGTGGATCATAAAAAATTATGGATAACATTGTGAAGAATGGGAATCCTAGAACTGTATAGAATTCCTCATGTGTCCATGAGGAACCAAGGAAGAGAAAGATGTTTGATACTATAAAACTGCTACAATTTGATGAACTAGACTTTTGCCTATGTGACTCAAAATTCCAACCAGAATGGAAGGATTCTTCATTATCAAGTAATAACCTTATTTCCTCAGTGTTGACAGGGATGAGAAATGTAGACATTAGCTATCTAAAACAGGTGGGATGGGGGGGGGGCTATAAAGGCATGAAGTGGCTGGCTTGCAAGCTTTCTACCTTACCCTCCCCCCTCACTGATTTCAGAATGAGACGGGTAACCCATTTGACTGGACTTCAATCACTGGATAAACAGCTCAACCGGAAGAAGAAAGAAGAGGGGGGGAAAAAAAGCATAATTTGATACAATTCGATAAACAGGACCTACACCTATGAATGCAGTAGCTCAAAAGAGGAAACAAATCCCTGCTGCAAGAACTATTCCCACCCCCTCCACACAAAGGGTAGACAGGGATGGGCAACTTGGACATTGGCTACCCAAAATGGGGGGAGGGATACAAAGGTAAGAAGTGACTGGCTTACAAGCTTTCAAGAGGGAACATAGATCCAAAGGGCGTGGAGGAAGGTAGAGTCTCCAGTGAATAGTGTCCAGCCTGTCCAGGCAGGGCTGATGAAACGAAATACAGATGAGTCTCTTGTGAGGCAATGGTGAATAATTGTTATCAGGACTGACTGTGAGGGTTGGAAATCTAAAGACGGACATTTTGTAGCAAGGAGGGGAGTGATTAACTTATCAGTCTAGGAGCGGAGGACCCTGTGACCATCGATGGAGAAGAGCGAAGAGCGGAATTCTACCCAGAGAGGCAGTGAGGCCTGAGATGGAGGCAGGGAAGACGACGTCAAGAGACGGTGTGGCTGGGGACTCGGGATTAGGAGATGGAAAGGGGCTGAGGACTGTGGTGGTGGTGGAGGGGGGGGCGGTTTGCAGGCTTACAGGGTATACCCCTTGGTTGGGTGAGGATGCATGGACGCAAGGGTAACTATGTCAATGAAATGATGGATGATGGAATGAGTGTAAAGCTGATGTTTTCCCTCGTAGACTATCACACAATTCACAATAAAACATTAAAAAAAAAAAGAATGAGACGGGTAAGGTACAGTCCACGCTGAGGAGTTTCCTTCTTTTCCAGATGGAGCTGGTGAAAGGGCATGAGAGGTGACAGTGATAAGATTTTATGACTCAACTGTGCATAATTGTTAGCAGGATTAAGTGCGATAGTCACAACCGTACTTGTAGAAGATGTAACTAAAAGCAGGGAGTAGGTAATCTTTCATTTCAGGAACAGAGGACCCCAGGACCTTCAAGAGGAGCATGAGAGCCTACCTAGAAAAGTATTAACAGCAGAGATGGTGGCAGAGGCGATGACGTGGAGACACAGAGCAGCTGCGGACTCTAGGCCCATGGACTGAGTAAGGCTGTGTGCCTGCAGGCAGACAGAATGTGCCTTCTGGACATTTAAATGAATATTATCTTTTTTGTTTTGTATGTGTACATCAAATATTTTTGCCTTGTTCATTTGTGAACTAGAAGATGTAAATGGGGAGCCACAGGGAGGAAGTCGGAGGGTAACTGTTGTTGCAGGGAAGGGATTGTAATCACTGAGGTGAAACAAAGTATATGATGTATAGAAGAATATAAAGCTGGTGATCTTGTCTGTAAACCTTTACCCAATTCACATTAAAAAGTTAAAAAAAAAAATAACAATTGATGCCTTTAAATTACGGGGTTAGTCAAGAATATATATACCATGGACCACCAGAAGAAGAAACAAATCTGTCTTGGAAGTCAAGTCAGAATGCTCCTCAAAAGTGAGGGTGGCAAGCTTTCATCTCATGTGCTTTGGACAAGCCATCCAGAGGACCAGTCCTGAAGAAGAACACCATGCTCAGTACAGTAGAGGGTTGGCGAAAAATAGGAAGACCCTCAGTGAGATGGACTGACAAACTGGCTGCAAAAATAGGCTCAGAGATTGTGAATGGTGCAGGACTGGGCAGTGTTTCATCCTGTTACACAAAGGGCTGCGAGTTAACATAAAAATCAACAACAGAATGATATAAGGAAGGCTTGTTTTTTATTAACTGATACTAACATGTGAAACTGGACCCCTTCTTCAAAAGCCATGCATTTTTCAAATGATGCACAATCCATCAGGCATTTGGACATAGAACATTTACCTCAGCAACAGATTTGAAAAAACCTAACAATTTTTATTGTTCCCTATTTACAGGAGTCCTGTTGCAGCTCTATAGCACTGGACTGCTAACCACAAGATCGGCAGTTCAAACCCACCAGCTTCTTTTGGAAATCCTATACAGGGTTGCTAAGGGTTGGAAGCAACTCAACGGCACTTAACAACAACATCTGCAGGACAAACAGGTGAACGCAGCTTCCACGTCATTTACCAAATATGAGCAGCTTCCTGCTGCAAGACGAGCCCTGAGTCACACTCTGATCTGGACATGATGTCTAGAAAGTCCCACACGCCCTAATCACAGTCACACAAATGGGAATTAGAGAGGGACACTGACTGGAACCCGAGGACATGGAGCTAAGAGCAGGGAGTGTGTGCTGCTGCCCGGGGAGACCAGAGCCAGGGGAGCTGCTCTTGGTTAAGGGAGGCCACCCAAGTCACCTCAAGTGGATGACCTAAGCAGCTCTGCTTCCCAAGACAATCATGCTCCCTCCGTTTCCTTTCCCACTCTACTCAGGGCTGTCTCATTTGTATGAGACATACAGAAGGACCTGGAAGTCTCAAGTTGAAAATGTGAGGTGTGGGGGAAACTAACCCAATGGCCTCAGCTCCTATCTAGCTTTCCTCCATCTCCATCTGGGTTCAGAGTCCGGAGCAAGCCCAGCAGCATGCTACCCCCCCTTCCTAATGTACTGCTGAAGCTCAGGGTGCCAGGGCTGGCCCAGGAACAGCCTGACTCCTGGTGATAAGGGCAAACCCCAGGAAGGAGGAGACCAGCAGTGTGGAAATACAGGCCCGGCCCATGGGCACAGCTGGATTTAGGAACTTTCAATATTGAGACATTGGACTTTTCCTTTTATGCTCTTGCTGTAAGCCTCACAATGTTAGGGGCAGGACTGAAGACCCTCCCTCCCTCATCTTTCATCCCTCCCCTGCCATCCCATATGCTTACTCTCTCTAGTGCACGGACTTTACCTGAGTTGAAGTTTCTCCCTCCTCCGGGTCACTGTTTGGTCTTTCCATCGGACTGTTCAATGCAGGTCGAATGCTATCTGAGCGCTGAAAGAGAAGCAGTGCCAGAAACAATAGGATCACTTAGAGATGCAATCGTAGAGTGCAGAGGGAGCTCTGCTCCCCAAAGTGACACACAGCATCAACGAAATACAAGGTGCAAAGCTGGAAGGTAAGGTACATATGAGACCGTCAAATCTGCGTTCTCAGTCGGCTCTACATTTAGTCCCTTTCCATGAGAGTACTCACACGGCAGTGACTCTAGTAGCTGCCACTGACTGAGCATTAATTGGTCCCTTATCTCATCTCCTACACATCTTATCAAATAGGTTCTTCTCATGGCTAGTCAGTCCAGATCTTGACCAAAGCATCTGACTGCAGGTGCTTTGGGGTCCTGCCCATCTTACCACTTTGGTGCTTACTGGTCAGTAGCCTGAGGACTTTTGTCTGGCTGAGCTGATATTGTGGGGACTGGTGTATGAACCCCCCAGGCTCTGAGGCCCCTCAGAAGAGACACCAGGTCTGACACTGGCCTGCACTGTAGCTCCCCAATGGGATGAAGCTTCAGCCGCGTACAACGGCTCCTCCTTGATATCAAACCCTTAACTGGCTGCCTTCCCTTCTCTGTCTCATCTCCACACCCCCTGCCAGTGTTTTCTGGGACCACCCTACAAATCAACTATTCACACTGGAATCTTTGTCTCAGGTCTGCTTCTAGAGACTCCACCTTGGCCACCAGGTAACAGAGTGGGGAGTTGGTGAGCCCCATCGACAGCCCCAACCCACAGGTCTTAAAAGGCCACCGCCACTCAGAGGACAGGCTCTTCCTCCATCAGACAGTCTTGAGTTTGAGGATTTTGTTAATAGATTCCGCCATACTTTTTTTTATCCTGAAGTCAAATAAATTTTTGACAAACTATTTCCTGATCATATATATTTACAAAGAAATACACATTTGACAAAATATGTATCTAAAAATCATATGTATCAAAAATGTATTATCTATATATAAATATATATAGGTATAGTCCTGGTGTGGTGCTATAGGATAAGCACTCAAGTCTCAAAGTCGGTTTGAGCTGCAAGGTCAGTGGTTCAAACTCACCAGCCGCTACTCAGAAACCCCATATAGGGTTGCTATGAGTCAGAACCAACTCAACGGCACACAATATATGACAGCAACATATATATATACATACACACACATACATATATATATATTCATTCCTTGATTCTGCCTTCAAGTTTTGTCTCTAATATATTGATACTTCTTCTATCCATCAAAGAAGTTAGGTGAAGGCCAGAGAGAACTGATCTTTTTTAAAAAAGTAAAAAACGCAAGTCTCAGAGACAGCTGTGAACTGTACGTAATAGAAAACAATGCCTGTTACCAGTTTTGGAAAACGAAGTTTTAGAGTTTTACTGAGCCCAGGCATGCTCACTCACTTGCGTATTTTCCATGACTCCTTTATAAAGTGCCACGACAACATGACTGAGAAAGTGCAACAGGCAGTGTGGCCTAAAATTCTCATATCCTTTGCTAATATTTTAGAAATATTATAGAAAGAAGAAGTGATACTGTGACCTCCGGGACTGGCAAGGGCAGGCTGGGTTAAAAAGGCATGAATCTGAACAAAAAATTACTCAAAGGCATTTGTCCCTGTTTTCATCTGCGTTTCCTTGGTAGGACCAGGGGAAGTTAGGGGGCTTGAAGAAAACCTCTCACCAAATCATAACTGATACTCAGTTGGTAAGTAGTTTAAACAGTTACTCTAGAACAACTAAACCTTATAATGAAACAGAATCCATTTGTCATTTCCCAGTTTACCTGTGTGGGAAAAGGTACTTGAATCCGTCCTTCTAAAATGTTGTCTGTTGTTATTTCAACTGAGCGTGTCAGCTGGAGGTCCTGCAGCACCAAGTGGTACGGAACCTGGGGGAACATTTCCTGGATCTGATGAGCCTACAGAAAAACAAACACACAGACTGCAGAAATGTTCACTCGAAGCAGTGACTCTACTGCGGCCATTCTGTGTAGCAGGCTCTGGGCATGAGACACGTCTTCCTGCCTCAACTACACAGGCAAGGGAGGAATCCGGATGTCACAAGCAACTTGTGAGAGGTTACCAACCTGTAGGCTGGCAGTTGGAAGCTACTCTCCCAGTGCTCCGGGAGATTTGCTGACTGCTTCTGTGAGGACCACAGCCCAGGAACTGCTAAGGAGCAGCTCCACTACTCTCTAACACTAGCGGGGCTGTTAGGAGTCCAACCCAACAACAGGAAATCTGACCTACAATGTGCTGGAACTGTAAACTACACCCCACCACACAGCTTCAACCTGAAGTCCATTTAGGATGTCTTCAGGATACCAAACACATCACTGAAGGCAGCATCAGTGTCTAAATAAAAAGAGCACAGAAATCCAGCTTAAATATCAAGACAGAATCCAAGTACAAAATTCCTGGTTATAAAAAGTACTCATTTTTAAGCTCAGCATCACCTCAGCACTAGACTGCAAACCACAAGGTTGGTAGTTTGGGTAAAGCAGACACTCCGCAGGAGAAAGATGAGAATTTCTGTTCCCACAAAAGTGTCAGCCTCAGAAACTCCATACAGGGATGAGTTGGAAACAGTTCGACAGAGGTAACAACAATTATCTCAAGTATCAAAATGTGTTCTCTCTAAAGATGTAATGCCTAAAAGGAACAATCACAATGCAAATGCACTATGCTATGTGAAGAAGTCCACCTCAGTATTGTATGCTTCTGCTTCTAGGGCACAGGCGATGGCAAAGGGCCAACAGGCAGAGCAGTGAGGAATGGTTGCCAGGTCAGCTGTGGGACTGACCACAAGGACACAAGAGAATGTTGTGGGGACGGGACTGGAAGTGTTCCACGTCTCCTTACAGTGGGGCTTACACGTGGATGGACTAGGCCAAACTCAAGTGTTGGCAATTAAAAAGGGGAATTTTACTATATGTAATTGCACCGCAATTAAAAAAAAAAGCAAAGA